TATGTGCAGGGCTTGCTTAAAGAGCCGCAGTGGGGTTCTGGAAAAAAAAAAAAAAAAAAAAAAACAAGCTTTGAATACGGTTAAAACGCTCTAGACTTTTCTAGGCTGCTTTGAAGGTAATTCTAAGTAGAGCAATTGAACAAAATTTCATTGTGTCATTAGATGTCATAGGCCATACAGTCCTAAAGGAAGGAAAAAGGACAACAGAAAAGTCTGGGACAGCTGCCCCGAGCTCTGCCAAGAATTTCCTTTCTGGGCCTGGAGATCAAGTGTAGTCCACGACTTCTCTAAACATTCAAATACCACACGGCCTTCTGCCTGCCTTAAGCAAAGCAAAAAGGCAGAAGTGTATCCACCTCCCACCCCTGCGCCCCTGCATCATTGCTTTGTCTCCTCGTTCACCAGTACTGATAAACGGTGGCATTTGTCTAAGAAATGAAGTGTGCTAACAGGCTCAGGCCACTTCTCTTAAGCACTTACTAAATCCCTGTTACTCTCTCCTAAGCACAGGTTCCTGGCGCAAAGCCAAGCTACTTGATCCAAGGGAAAAAACGAATAGTTAGAAAAAAAGTATTACCAGCAATTTAAAAAATACAAAGGCATACCTCAAATGAGAAATAAAATTAAGAATTCCCCTTTAACAAGTTTGAGGAAAGAATGAAATTGTCTCCTTACTATAATACGAGCATCTTAGGCCATTTTCTGCTGCCATAACAGAATATCCCAGATTGGATAATTTATGAAGAATAGAAGTTTATTTGGCTTGTGGTTCTGGAGGCTGGGAAGTCCACAAACATGGCACCAGCATTTGGTGAGGGTCACCCCATGGCAGAAGGGAGGAAGGCAAGTGAGCATGTCACATCAGACAGAGAGAGGGAATCAGGCCAAACTCATCCCTTTATCTGGAGTCCACTCCCACGATAACAGCATTAATCTTCATGACTTAATCACCTCTCAACACTGCTGCACTGTGGATTAAGTTTCCAACACCTGAACTTTGGGGGACACATTCAAACCGTACCAATCAGTCACACTGACTACACAGACATGTCAGAAATAATGGTGCCAGAGCAATCTATGTGTCTTAGCCAGTCTGGAGGCATCAGACCTATACAGAGGGTGGCCATATGGCAGACTTGCCCGGGACAGGCTGGATGGACACTTGTTTCCTGGCACAGTTATTCATATAACCCCCTTTCGATCTCTAAAGTGTTCCAGTTTAGATGATAAATGATATGACAGTAATCGTATCTCCAAGTTTGAACTGTCCTTAAAATATTCACTTCTTAACACATCAATGACTTCCTTTAAGGCTCCCTAGAGTGGGTTGACTGGTGGCCCCAAAGATATCAGATCCTAATCCCTGGAACCTGTAAATGTTACCTTATTTGGGAAAAGGGTTTTTTGCAGGCTCTTGAAAGATTATCCTGGATTGTTTAGGTGGGCCTTTGATGCTATCGCGTGTATCCTTTAGATACAGATTAGACTGAGACGAAAGAGGAGAAGACCATGTGAAGATTCAGGAAGAGATTGGAATGATGTGGCCTCAGGCCAAGGAATGCCGGCAGCCACCAGCAGCTGGAAGAGGTGAGGAAGGATCCTCCCCTAGAGGGAGCACAGCCCTGTCTGCACACTGATTGTGGACTTCTAGACTCCATGACTGTAGGAGAATAAATTTCTGTTGTTGTAAGCCACCCATTTTGTAGTAATTTGTTACAGCAGTGCTAGGAAATTAATACACCCTGGTAAGATTCCTTCTTTTCTCTCCATGTTCTCTAACAGGATTTCCTAGGCTGCTACGTGCACTGTCTTTCAAATGCCATCACATTCTTGCCTGTGTGTTGCTGCTGATGAAAGTCTTATCTCTTCCATCAGCAGTTAAGTTTGGAAAGTCGTGGAATGATCCAATGGAGGTGAATAAACTAAAAGCAGTTACCATGCTGTTACCAAGAAACACACAGCAAAATGGTTAAAGAAATGGTAGGAGGAAAAAAGAAGCACATGTTCAAAATGGCCCCAAATGGGAAACACATCCAAATGTTAACAATAGGAAAACTGGTAAATAGCTAGTCAGACAGTGCAGTTCCGCAAAACAGTTAAACCCACTCAGGTTTCCAGAAATCGGTAGGGCTCTTCTTGGTAGCACAGTAGCTGGGGACACAATTAGGGGACAGAGGCTGGAGTGCCATCACTCTCTGCAAAGGAAGGGGTGGAAGCAAATTGTGCTAGTTTCTCTACACAAAAGAGGTTACCACAAACCAGACGCACAAACAACAAATGTACGTGTCTCAATGTTTGTGCCACTTAAAGAGGAACTTGGAGTTACAAGTCACTTAACCATGGGAAAGGGGCCATGTAATGACAAAATAAATAATTTACTAAAGAAGATACAATGTATCAAATATCTTAGCACCAGATACAAAGTGCAAGACCTACTGGAAGTGAAATAACTTGATTAAAAATAGTTACAGTGAGAATTTACTAAACCTCTGGCCAGATGGAAAAGAATAGTGGCAGAAAATTAGTTCTTTTATGACATGAATAAGGATGAGGATGCTGAGCAATCAGCAGAAACACACTGATGGGAGGAATAGCTAAGACAACAGACTACACTGCTGGGACAAAATAAATTGAAATTTGGCAGCTAAAAATACACATAAAACTTAACAATCAAGTTTAAAATAAAAGAAGCAGTATATAAACAAGTGGGAGGATATGGTTTCACAGTGGCATATGTGACCTATGGTTTTGGCTGCCTACAAGCTCAAGTTCATGTCACAAAGTACAGACACACACATACAAACAAGACCCACCAATGCTCTACTGCAGGGGCTGGAAAACTATGCCCCACGGGCCAAATGCAGCCAGCTACCTGTGTTGGAACTGCTGGTGAGCTACTAGTGGTTTTTACCTTTAAATGACTGGGGGGAAAAAAAAGTAAAAAGAACAACATTTCATGGCATGTGAGAATGATTTGAAATTCACATTTTGGTGTCCATAAAAATTTTATTGGAACACAGCCACACCCATTCATTTATGCATTGTTTGTTGCTATTTCTGAGATACAAGCAGAATTGAGTAGTTGCGACAGACACAATACAGCCATTTACAGAAAAAAGTATGTTGACCTTTCTTATCTATATGGGGTAAATCATATCTCAAGTGCTGAATGGAGTTCTAGAGATTACATTTTTACTGGGAAATTAACTGACTAGTGTTTTCAGCACAGGGACTAGAAGCCACACCTGAAGAGGCTGGGATTAACATTCAGGGGGACCTTGGTATATGCATTCAACTTTATAAAGGTACATTTTTTCATACACAAGGAGATGATCTTGTGTGCTGTTTCAGAAATTTGTGTTGCTTTAGGAATTAATTATGGGGCTGGCTGGTTAGCTCAGCTGGTCATAGTGCAGCCTTATAACACCAAGGTCATGGGTTCAGATCCCTGTACTGGCTAGCCACCAAAAAAACACTAAAAAAGAAAAGAAAAGAAAATGAATTATGGAGATAAATGGCAACATATTAGGGAAAATCTTTCTCGCAATTAGGAAAACCTTTCTCGCAATGTGTCCTGTAAACTGGCAGGATTCACTCCAAACCTGACTGCACACCTATTCATGAGATATATAGCAGACAACAGCTTAGAGTCAATCCCTGTAGTGGGTCGAATGGTATCCCCCCAAAACTGAAGTCCACCCACAACTTCGGTAAGTGACCTCGTTTTGGAAACATGGTCTTTGCATATGTAACCAAGGTAAAAGTCAAGATGAGATCATTCTAGATTAGGGTGGACCCAAAATTCAATGACAGTATCTTTATAAGAGACAGAAAAGGATGTACAGAGACACAAGAGAGGCCATGTAAAGATGGAGGCAGAGATCGGGATGATATGGCCACAAGCCAAAGAATGCCAGGAACGACCAGAGGCTGGAAGAGGCAGGAAAGATCCTCCACAGAACCTCCGGAGAGAGAATGGCCCTACCACACCTTGACTGCAGACTTCTGGCCTCTGGAACTGTGAGCGAATAAATTCCTACTCTTTTAATCTACCAGCTCGTAGTAATTTGTTAAAGCAGCCCTAGAAAACTAATAATCTCCTTTAAAGTTCCCCTCAAACTCCAACTTATCTGATGTATCTCAAAGGCAAAGACCAACCATATTTTCTTCCATTTCTTCTAGAAACTCATAGAACCTCCTCTAATGTTAATGTTGCTAAAAGAAAAATTCAACAATATTAACTCCATTCTTTGAGAAAGGCTGAAAAGAAATAATGGTGTTTTAAAAAAATACTTATACTTTTTATTTGGGGAGAATTGTAGATTCATGTGCAGTTGTAAGGAACAATGCAGAGATCCTGCGGACCCTTTACAAAGTGTCTTCCCATAATAATATCTTGCAAAATTATAGCACTCTATCACAACCAGGACCCTGCGTTGACACAATCCAGTAATCTGATTCAGATGTTCCCCAGTTTGACTTGTACTCATTAGGGTGTGTGCATGTGTGTGTTCGTGTGTGTGTGTATTTAGGTCTATCCACCACTGCAAAGATACACAACAATTTCAACACAAGGACAATAATGTTATTTTAATACCTGCAAAAATATGCTTTCCCTGTTTCTATATTTATAAATATTAACAATAGGGTGGGTTCAAAGACAACTCTTTGAAAAAGACAAGGTGAGAAGCATATTCACTTGATCATGAAAAAGCCAACATTTCCAGATATTCTAATGAAGGAGACATGTGGGGAAAAAATGTTAATGATGGCTGCTAACACCAAGGTCAAAGGTTCGGATCCCCACACGAGCCAGCCACCAGAAAAAAATGTCGATGGTGACCCAGCACATGTTTCTAGGGTGGGCCACATCTCTCCTACCTTGTCCTTTTTATCTTGCCTGGCGTATGGAAAACATGGGATCACTGCAGTCACCCTGGATGCCGAGGCAATCTTGCAGGCATTGATCATGATGAGGAGTTCCATCAGGTTGTCGTTAATTTCTCCACAGCCACTCTGGATAATGTAGACATCTTCCCCTCTCACACTTTCACCAATCTCAACACTGGAAGGAAAATGCCATTGTTTCCTATTAAAGTAGATCTGCATCTTGGGGGTCCCTGAGACCACTCCCAAGTTCAATGATTCACCAGGATGACTCACAGGACTCAGCATACAGTCACACTCATGGCTATGAATTACATAGGGAAAGGACACAGAGCAAAATCAGCACAGGAAAAGGTGCGTGAGGAAAAGTCAGGGAAACCGGGTGTGAGCTTCCAAGAGTCCTCCCCCAGGGGAGTCAGAGGTCAAGCTTAATTTCTTCAGCAGTGACCTGTGATGTTATGGGTGAAGTGCTGTTCACCAGGGAAGCTCCTTACAGACTTAGGGCCCAGGATTTTTAATGAAGCCTGGTCACATAGACACCCACTGCCTAGTGTGTACCAAAATGCCAGACTTCCAGGCATTCAGCAAAAACCACATTGTTTATCAATTGTTTAACAGTTTATGCTCAGTGAGCCATCCTTATCAGAGGATGGTGAGGACCCTTGCAAAATCCAATTTCCCAGAGGCCAGCAAAGGGCCAACCTTGCAAGCAAGCCGAAGTTTCAGTCCTGTTACGTTAACTCTTTTCTGCAAAAGACTATACTTAGTTTTAGTTTTTTATTTTTATTAAAGTTATACATGCATATTGCTTAAAAAATTCAAATCATTTCATAAGGCTTATAACACATAAACAGCCCAGAAGCAACCAATTTCAACTCTTGATATAGTTTTTAGATATTTACCTTCAAGTCTCTGGCTAATATGTATGTATCGCTACATCTTGACTTTTCATTTAAGGCATCCTGTATTGACTTCTCACTATGGAAGAGAGGATTTAACTCTATTTCCTTTGTCCCATCACTCCCATGCACCTTTCCCAGCTTATCATCATCCCAACACAGATCAATATTCCAACTAAAGATTGAGTGCTACATTTTAACTGTGTAAATGCTGTTCCGAGCTGAACCATGTGGTAAACTTAAATCAATGTTTATATTCTCCTTTCACGCACAACTCTGTTTTCCCTGGAGATATTTATCTTATCTTTTTATCTGCTAAGTTTTCTAAGTACTGAATCCAGATTCCACCCTAAACACTTCACTGACAATCTAAATCTCCCAGTGTCATTGTCTTCAAGTCCCAGGTCCACTTTGTGGTCCTGCAGATGTCCCTCCCAGAGTTAGCTTTCTGCCCGTGTACAGCTGCCGTCTGGGGATTCCCTCACCCCTCTCCTGCACTTGATTTCCCATTTTCTGTATCCTCTTTCTTGGTGTACTTCCTTGTTTTGTTGGTTGGCATCCTCCCGTAGCTTCTTGAGAAAGAGCAAATAGGACCAAAATGTTTGAAAACTGCATGTCTGAAAATGTCTGCATTTCCAGATATAGAATATTTAAGTACTTTTTAAAACATGTAATACACATAAAAGCGTTACACCGTTTTTATTACATTCCCATGTTGTTTTAAGTTTCACTGAGGAAGTTTTTGAATGCTCTACCCCAACCCCATTTTTATCATGAGCCCTGTGGTTTTTAATTGCACAATTTTGCATAGCATAATTTTTAGGAATGCATATGTCACCTTATAGCAGAACTGGCTGTAAATTTATTCATCCAAAAATAAAATACAATGAATCTTATTTTAAAATTACAAGTGAGGCATATGAATAATTACTCTTCTCCCTTCTCTCATTATCAGAAGCCAATTATACCCAATTATATTGTTTTATTAAAAAAGCCAATTATATCTAATGAAAATTTAAAAACAAATGGATGTTTGGGGTACCTTGTAGTAGTGTATCTGAATCAACGGAAGCTTATACCCAACTTCAAGTAGAAAAATTAGAAGACAAAAATGAAGTTTTCAAGTTGACATGTCCTGAAAATTAGTTTCGATAGCATTCGGTCATGTTCTTAACCTCTCTCTGCTATGGATGTAAATGGTACAATGCCAACCTCAGGATGAAAGGCACAAAAACAATCCTATGTTCTCCCTCCCATTTCGAGTTCTAAGGAGCTAAACATAAGTCTTTTGTGAACCTTACATCACCTGTAGGATAAACTTAACTTGGAAATCAAGTATTATATAGCTCTTGGGTCCATGAAATACAGCCCTTGGCGTGTTTTTGTATGGCCCATGAGCTAAGAATGGTGTGGTAGGTAGAATACTGTCCCCCCCATGTCTACAACCTAAGCCTTTGAACACATTAGTTTACATGGCAAAGGGAAGTCAGTTTGCAGATGCAATTTAATTTAAGGTTGCTTGTCAGCTGACCTTAAAATAGGGAGATTATCCTTGATTATTTAAATTGACCCAATGTAACACAAGGGTCCTTAAAAACAGAAGAGGGAGACACAAGAGATCAGAGTCAGAGAAAAAGATATGATTACTAAAGCAGAATCAGAGACACATATGTGGGTTCTGTAAGCATAGATCAATCAGAAATATTTGGGGAAAATAACAATAAAAAATAACAACAATAAAAGTAATACAGATAAAAAAGACAGTACAATAGAACAACTATTTACATAGCATTTACATTATATTAGGTACCATAAGTAATCCAGACAGGATTTAAAGTATACGGAAGGCTGTGGTTAGGGTATGTGTAAATACTATGCCATTTTGTATCTGGGACTTGAGCGTGTCTCTACTGGGGAGTGGATTCTCCCCTAGAGCCTCAGAAGGGAGTGTAGCCCTGTTGACCCATGACCGACTTCCAACTTCCAGAACTGTAGGATACAGCAGCGAGATAGATCACAGGTGTCCAGCAATGCCTGAAAGATTTACGATCTGGCCCTTTATAGAACGAGTTCCCCCACTCTTGGTCTTATGACTGTTTTATACCATAAGAGTAGATTCTTTGGCCTGTTTTTCCTCAGGAACCTCAACTGGCATATGACTAGCAGTGCAGGAGAGAACAGAGAATACCATCACCGTGGCGACATTTTTCCAAAGCTAGCCCTGCTTCTACTCATAAAGATGATCATGACTGGTCTTTATTCTAGGTCTCTTAACAATTGTAGATAGAAGGCAGCATCTATTTGTAATTCAGCCAGAGGATCTTTACAAACCCTCAATTAAGAAGGCTGGCTCAACAATGAATGCGTATGGTAATTAAAGGATGGCAACAGACTCTTCAACACTTTTCCCATTAAGAAGTGGGGTCTATGTCCCCTCCCCTTGAATCTGGGGGGGGGGCACTGTGCTTGACCACCAGAACATGACAGAAGTGATGCACCAACTTGCAAGCCTAGGTCTTAACAGACTGGAAGCTTCCACCTCCTGTCTTTTGAAACTCTTGCTCTTGGAACCCAGTTTCCCTGCTATAAGGAAGCTCAAGCAGCCCCATGGAGGTCTATAGGAAGAGGAACAGGAGTTCCTAACCAAGCTCCCAGGCAAAAGCTAGTACCAACTCACCAGCTGTGTGAGTGAGTCATCTTGGAGGTGTATCCTCCAGTCCTGGCTGGCTGCCCCAGCTGCCACTGCATAAGACAGAAACAAGCCTTCCCTACAGAGTCCTACTCAAACTGCAGATCTGTGAGCCAAATAAACAATTATTGTTTTAAGCTGTTAAGTCCTGGGGTGATTTTTTACACAGCAGTAGATAACCAGAACCCTGGGTCTCATAGTACAGCTAATGACTCCACCAGCAGGTTAACCGACCAGGGTAAAATGTTACAACGGAGGCTTCCAAACACCATCCTTAATGCAATCCTAGGAAGTCATCCTAGGATTTCCCTGGTCTGCAGTGAAGCTGGAGCAGACCTCTCCCGGCATATCTGAAATGATTTAGAGATGAAAAGGTAAAATCAGGAGGCTCCGTGTTCAATTAAGTAGCTTCTTTAAAATGTGGAATGTGAGAATTGATAATCAGGAGACAGCAAACCACATTTCTGGTCCCGGCTCAGTGAGAAGCTCAGGAAGGAACCCCGTACATGAACTGAATCAATTTCCTCTTCCTTTTGCCCTTCTGTTTCTCATCTCTAGGACCACACAGTACAAACTGGATTACTAGGACGGTATCTGGTATAGAGGACTGTGTAAAAATCAACCTCTGTACCTGTATAGTTCATGGAAAAGAAAAGTCAGGGAGTTGACCTTTTGTATTCTACATATTAAAAACATAAAATGTTGCTATATAAGCAATTCCCAGACTTAATGCTGAGTGGTTTTTGAGGCCTCATGATTTCTATTTATTAACGGTGCTTATAAAATATTCAAAACTAAATAATAGTGAGTCTGCTTTATATTTAAAACAAACATATAAACAATCGTATTTCAGTGTCTGAGTGAGTTTCACCCAACAGTACATACAGTATTTTTAGCAGAAATGCAACACTGACTTAGCAATGAACTGATCTAGATTATCCAGATTAATTACGCTCCTCAGCAAAGGATTGTGCTGCAGATAACATGGAAGGGCATGTATTTGCTTTCAAAATCCACTTCATCCAGGAATTTCTCCTTTTACTTATATGACGATACCTTCTGAACAAAAAACCATTATCCATGTGCTCTTAAAGCCACTAAAACTTGAACAGGACTGGCAAATACTGCAACATTCAACCCTAGCCCTTGACTATCTTCCCAGACTTCTGTATTAAACTCTGCAAAGTGCAATTCTTTAGCTGAAGTTCTCCTGGCAGTAATACCACCTGCCATTCATTAACGATGTTTCTTCACTTATATTTTCATCGGAGCCATGTAACTGGAATTTACCACCTGGAAGAAGCCACACAGGATTCATGTATCCTGAAAAGCTGACTCACCAAGAAACAGCATCTTTACCATCCGTATTCATATAACTTCTCGTTAAGAAACTTTTGCCTAACTGAAAGTCATCAAGATTTTCCCCTATGTTTTCTTCTTCTAGAAATTTTATAGTTTTATTTTGGTGTTTTGCTTGTTTGTTTTTTGGTGGTTGTGCTTTGGTTTTTATTTTGGCAGCTGGCTGGTACAGGGATCAACGCCAGACCACACCACGCTCTAACCAACTGAGCTAACTGGCCAGCCCTACA